TATATAACACTTCGTGCTTACATATATAGCATGTTATAGTATATGCTACTGTATTCATTATTTGTATTATAACAGAGTTAATGAATTACATTCATTCATCACTAGGTTATAAGTCGATGAATCAATTTTAACAGATTAATTGATATAATCGAGACATTTTGTTTTTAATATTCAACAATGCATCTAAGTAGGTTATAAGTCGATAAATTAATTTACACACAGATATATTTGATGAAAAATTATATATACTAATTAGGATCAATATAAAAGTGATTTTTAATTTTGACCAATGTTGACCTGAAAAGAGACCAACTTTGGTCGCTAGTTATCCAGAATTAAAATTTAGCGACCAAAGTTGGTCGCTAATTTTAAATAATATTTATTTATATTTGATAAAATATTTTAAATAATAATATAATTATTAAAATGTTATAACTTGGTCCCACATTAGCGACCAAAGTTGGTCGCTAATTTCAATATTTCTTTGACCAAGCAAGCCTGACCAGCTTGGTCAACATGTTGACCACTTTACCGACCAAAAAGAGACCAACCTTGGTTGGTAAATTATTTAAAATAATTATTTAATAATTTTCTCCACATTAGCGACCAACGTTGGTCGCTTGTTTTGACTAACCAACTTTGATCGCAAATTTTTGGTCAGTAATTCCCAGGTTTCTAGTAGTGTATGTATATCTATGTTATTATATTTTAATTGTATTTTTTTGGTAATTAAAATTTATTATTAATCACCAGTATCAACATTACAAAGCATAGCAAGCCAATTCCCAGCCAGCTAGATCAGAAGAACAGAATACACAAAAATCATGACTACCAAAGCACCTAAGTCATACTATCTACTTCTTCTATCTAGAACAAGAGTTCCTGCACTCGACTCTTTACATTTCCAATTGCTCTAAAATTACACATACAGGCTATCTCTCTTGCCATGCTATTGTGATCTTTGTGAATGTCTTCAAAGATCCTTTGATTTCTTTCCCTCCACAGAATATGAATATATTCAACATAGATCATCTTGAGGAGCTTTGCTGGTGCAGTTTTCCCCTTGGAATAATGACAAACAAACTAGATGTGTTCGCTTCAAGTATTGTACACTACATTTCTAAGTTGTGCCCACTCAGTCAATCTTTCCCATAGCTATCTATCATACTTACATTCAGCAAACATATGGTTTCTTGTCTCATTATTGGATTGACATACGACACATATATCATTCACATTAAGGCCCTATTTTCTCAGCCTGTCTACTGTTAGTAATCTTCCTTGGCATTGTAGCCACATAGTGATTATAGCTTTTGGTCTAACAACATTCTGATACATTAATCTCCTCCAGTTAGTTTTAGGATATGTTTGTATCAGTTGGAGATAAATTTATTTTATAACACTTTTTTTCCCGTCCAATGGTCTTTGGAGTTGATGAACAACATCTCTTGCTTCCAGTATTTTCCTCACCATCCTGCTTGCATTCTTTGGTATAGGCATAGTTTTTGAGTTTTGTTCTTTTATGTAGAAGGTATGTATCCACTTGATCCAAAGTTTGTCTTGTTTGTGTGACAGGTCCCAGTATGTTTTGGCAGTAGCAGCTACATTCCACACTTGTATGTTGCTTAGGTTCAGACCTCCTATAGATTTAGGAAGGCAGACTTTGTCCCAAGCAATGAGATCTTTCTTTGTGATTTCATTCCCCCCCCCCCCC